AGTCATTGTTTTTTATGCATTGTATGTCTCTGTTGACAGAAATGTAATTAAAAGCTAATCAATAAATGTGTAAAAAATGTGTATCCCTTAATTAAATTTTTACTCAAAACGTAGAAAATAGTAATTTTAACCTTTTTTCAAATGCAAACAGTAGTAGGTGTTAAAACAATTTATTAAAAATGAACTAATTATCATTTAATACATAGAATTCTCATAATTATATTTCTATATATTCTGATAAGTATTTGTTGAAACAAATTGAACACATTTCAAATTTAATCTAACTTAATATCTAATGCAAAACAAACATGTTTTACAAAACAGAAAAATTGAAAACAAAAATTATTTAGCATACAGTTTAAAGAATATTCTATTAAATGATTAATACTTACAAAGAATAAACAAATATTATTCAACAGTTGTTGACTCCAATTAATTTGGTTAATTGAGTGCAAATTTGAATATAAATCCCAAACGTTTACCAATTTTGAATGAACTGTCACTTAAACTAAATTAATCGAAATTCAATGAAACAATGGACTGAAAGGATAAAAGTTTTTTTGTGACAACTTTACAATTGTGTCAAAAATTTTTTGTCCGCTTTTGGCAAACTGTGCGCAAAAGCGTTGAGTATTTTATTCGCAATTTTTTGCTTTCTTATCGAAACAGAAGGCCTTTTGGAGTGTTTTCTATGCTATCAATCAAACCGATAACACATGAAAACAACAATTCATATACAATGACATCAAAAGTTAGTTGTGACGATAGTTTGGACACAAAAATAACAAATTCGTGAAAATGTTAAGAAAATTTCCAAAAATGTTTGTCACAAATGTCAACAAATTAATGCTATTCTGGTATTAAGTTACGAGACATTTAGACAATACATTTGCTATGGTTTTAATATAGTCAGCTATAAATTATAATTTGTATACCAGTAGAATCTATTGTAATATTCTGTTATTTTTATATAAGGTTATAAATATAAAACTTCTTATTAAAAATTCATTGAATATATAATTTTCCTTTTATGTGTTATAAATATAAAAGTTTTGGGATTGTATTCTTGGAAATTATTGTGTTCTGAATAAGTGCCTAATTTTGGTAATTATTGAATTATTGTGTGTGTGTGTGTGTGTGTGTGTGTGTGTGATTAACAGTTATCTACTTTTGCAGGCAATTGGTTGCCCACATGTTTGTCGTAAAGACAATCAGTGTCTGTACTAATGGCAAAAAAGCCATAGTTTTAGACAATAGAGAGAGAGAGAGAGAGAGAGAGAGAGAGAGTTATTAATTGAAAAATGGGTTCATAACTGAATTGACATTTAAACCTTTAGCCAAACCAATGAGTCTTAATCTAGTGTACAGTGAGTGCAACATATGCTATGTTTTCCACAATTCATAAATTCTTTGGTGACTAACATATAGTGAGTCCATCCATATATCCAAACAAAGCTATTGTCACAAGAATTCATATCACGAACTAATGTCATAAAGAAAACAAAATGAAAAAATATTGAAAAATCTTATTTAAAATATAAACAGAATATATAGTATTATTAATATTATTGCGAAACGGTTTACACTAAAAATTCTGATTTGAATAATAGCCTGAATTATGTTTGTCACTGAATATTATTTCCAAAAATATCATATATTTGTGGTTAAAAACCTATAAATCAATGGAAATTTTTAATAATCATAAGATGTGATTTTATTTAATGAATATTTGGTTTTATTAGTTATTTGTTTTCAATTGATTTAATACTGTATTCATAAGCATTATTAGTATAATAGCCAAAAGATAAACACAATTTCTGTAATTCTTGTCTTTTATTTAATGCACTTTTTCTCTACCATTAAGGACTTCCTGTCGACACAAAGTCACTCTCTATTGTCTAAAACTATGGCTTTTTTGCCATTAGTACAGACACTGATTGTCTTTACGACAAACATGTGGGCAACCAATTGCCTGCAAAAGTAGATAACTGTTATTTCAAATCTACACACAATTTACCCAAAAATATATCACTTTTCATAGCATATAGTAAAATACTGTATATAACACTTTTCAGAAAATATTTATAAACTCTAAACACGAAATTCTACTCAGTTTTGAGTAAATTAAAAAATATTCAGATTTCATAAACATCCATATTCTGTGCCCTATATCCTGTTATATAACTTATTTAAAGAATCTCACATTTTTTACATAAACATACAAAATTGTATTTTAATTTCTGAATCCAAACATTAGTATTTCTATGAAAATGAAAGCCTTTGTTAGTATTGTCTTAATTGTCGAGAACCTCAGCGCTGGCATACATTCGGATCCATTGTCTGACTGTTGAGTTGTATTTCTTTCGGTCGCTTTCATACAAACGAGCGCTCATTGGATTCAATGGCGAACTCGTGTTGGGATCCGTCAGTAACGACGAGATCGATAGCATCGCTTGAGTCAGAGTATAGGCGGACGACCACTGCTTCTGAAGGAAATCCACACAAATGTCACCATTTCTGCTGATATTTGGGTGAAATACTGGTGAAATGAATCGGATTTTAGGCGCTTTGTTTGGATAATCATTGGGAAAGTCGACTCTAAACCTGAAGAGCCCGCCTTCGTATGGACTGTCTTCGTGGGCCGTGAAGTACTCCTTGCCAATGAAACAAGTCGTCGGCTACCGGTCCCACTGACAGCTCTATGGGAGGGTTTCGTGACATATCTTCCAGTTCTTTAGCCAATCGATTGATCGCTATTTTGTTGTTTAAATATTTCGCAGACAAAGTGCCAGAGCTTTGCATGACTTGAGCTCTGTTTTGTTCACAACTGAAACAGTAATGAATTCATACGTAAAAGACTTTATTATTCAAATTAAATCCAGTCTATTGTTAGCACATAATTGTGTTTAAAGAATCTGTTTTATTCACTTTACAGTTCAAATTATATCAAAAGCAAATGAAAATAAAATAATCCATTAGTTTATTAACAACTTTGAGAACATTTATAAAAACAAAACTTGTACTAAATATTAATACTAAAATGAGATCAATTAAATGAGATCTTACATTATGTTACTTTATTACTGTATTACAATTAAGTATATGATTGATTGCCATATAAAATTATAGTTTCAAATCAAATGAATTAAATTATAGTACTTTTGAAGGAAACATATTTTTTGTAAATTATATATTTATATTCGTAACAAGTGTTATATATAATAATATACAATATGTATGGAATGTTTAAATCCCAAAAACGAAATAAAATTTCACATTTAATTGCAATCATATGTTTGGCTCCTTTTCCTCTTCTTCCTTCACATTATATTCTTTGTATAAATTCTTGAGAAGAATTCGAAGCAAATTATTCTCCTTTAACTGAGACTTCAAATCATTGATTCTGTAATCAAATCAAATTCTTTATAATATTTCTTTAGAATAGTTATTATAATGAGTAATAAATTCTAATTTTTTATAATAAATTATTAATTGAAATGTAATGTTGAGTCCTGTGAATATATGTTTAAAATGCAAAACTTTTAACTTTCTCCAGGGACAAAATATATGCTAGCAATTAATATTTTACTTAATTAAGTATTTTATTGCTTTAATAAATAAAATTAATAAATAAATCACTACGAATATCGCAATAAAATATAATATTTAAATTATTTCTATAACTTAGCAATTTATTATAAAATTTAATTTATTATTTATAACAAAATATTATCTTGAAACCTTAATTTTCTATCGTTTTATAAGATTCAAAACTTGGGATATTTATTATAAAGTATAAGGATTTGTTGAAAACAAGGATGTATTTACAATATATTCAACTTTATTGTTTAGATAAAGTTTAATTTGATATTTTTAAAAAAGGTTTACATGGGTATACAAAACTTATTAAAGTTAAGCGCATTTGTGGTCCTATATAAAGTCCAACAACAAAAACTAATTATTTTGGAATTAAAGTATTGTTTATTATCTCTTATTTTTAAACAAATTCTTTATAGAATTTTAAACTATATTTGAGTTAAATCTACTAATAATGTTCATAATTATTTTTTTTAGTATTCTATATAATGAAATCATAATCAATAAAATTATTTAAAAGCTTTTTAAGCACACAAAAATTACTTACTTTTAAAACAATTTACTGTAGTAATAGTACAGTATTATACAAAATAAATATTAAAAACACAATTATTTTTATAATGATTTTCTAATTTTACTTTAAGTTAGTACACATCATTAACGTGTATTCAAATATTTAAAAATTATTAGATTACATTAAAGATAAAAAATGTATATAGAAACTTTAATTCTTCTAAAGCAAATCAACATAAATATTGATTAAAATAATAAATAATTATTTATTTTAAAGAAAACAGATTTATTAATAAGTTTAAGATACTTATACATACTTTTCTTCATTACTCAAAGAATAGAGATTTGAGTCCAATTCTAGTGACTTCTTGGAAACTCCTCGACATTGTGGTGCGAATACAAATGTCCTTTGAATATGATTATAACAATTAT